AGGTGGTGAATTCTAGATGCTAGTGCCTAGTTGCCTTTGTGCTTATACAGAGACTGAATGAGTGGCGTTCGTGCTTTTGATATCATGTGGCGTTCTTAGTGTGACCTAGGGGACATATATCTGAGACAATGCCGTTATTCAGCAATGTGTATTATTCAGCAAAGTGGGACAACGTCGTTATTCACCAATGTGTATTATTCAGCGAAGTGGGACTCTCACGGTACATGCAGTGACCACATGCCATCAACATAGTGTGGTGATGTTATAGTGGCACTCAGTATTTTATATGACACTGGTATTTTGATAGAGTGAAATATGTACAATTAAGATATCAAACCTTAAATAGAGACTCTTGAGTATATCAAGATAATGATCATATATCTTATATTTGTCTTAATTAAATATATATCATATTACTAAACCCAAAGCTTTATGTAACTACATTAACCGACTTTATATAACGTTACATTGGTGACTGGTTGGGCAGATTTGTATCAATCACACATGTAACTGCATCTCCAGTGGAAAATAACTCTAATTATACCAAAGGTTGGAATTTGAATTATCATGCACATGATAGTGGTCAGATAGTGATCTAAAATGCATAGTCCAAACGGGTAAAAAATTGGACGGTGTTTACTACTATAATGAGATCAAGTGATCTTTACGATTATAGTGAGTTCCCTTGTAGTTCGAAATTGAGGTACAAATCATAGACAAGGAAGTGGAAAACAAGATCGCTGAATAAAATAAAGGATAGTCTATAGAAGACTTTTAATTTTTCCCCCAAACTTACACAATGTTTGACTTCTAACAAGCGGCGGATTATCGAAAACAAACGGCGATTTCAGACACTCGCCCCCTGCTATTGAAAGCCCTGAAATATCTTAACGGAGTCTCTTTTGACAAATGTGGTTGACATTTAAGTAACATATAAGACATATATCAATTATTGGCTACTACCCTCATTATTGGATCGACACACCTAATGCATATTGACAATAAGTATTCATTAGTACATGTTATATATTGATATTTAAGTTAATTATAAATAGCTTATATTGAATCTGATGTGATATATAAGCCTAGTGAGATTAATTATTGTTCTTGTATAATTCTGGGTGTTATATTTCATCATGTTATACGTTATCTTCGATTTCTCAATGTACAGGGTGGGCCAAAAATTTTTGCAACTTTTTTAAAAGGCTAGAAAAGTATCAAAACATAAGGGTATTGCCATAAAAAAATATTTACAGAAACTTAAGGATAGGCATATTTTACCAGTCAAATGCTAAAGCTAAAACTGGCTTCAATTTTTTTTGTCAGATCTTTGAATATCAATGGTCAATTGTTCATGTGTCCGAGATTTACCATTTTTCCTAGAAAATGTGATTTTCTATGATTTTATGTGATCAACAATAACACATTCATAATGTTCACTAAATCTGCTACAATCTTGGATAACTGTTTAACCTCTTGAATACCCAGAGTGACGGATATATCCGTCACAAATGAAATAAGACTGGTGCCCAGAGGGACGAGAAAATCCGTCACAAAATTTTTCACAAAAATTGCTCTCATTTGAACAATTTTCATCCAATTTACACAAAAATTGTTTTAAAACGTGTAGAAATGATCTCTGCCGTCCAATTTTACTAAGCTGAGCATCTAAAGTTGTATAGGTATGTAATAAAATGTCAAAAGGTGGCAAAAAATGAAAAATTCTCTGGTTTCATGCCAATTTTAGAGCCTGGGATTCAAGAGGTTAAACAATGTCTATCTCAATGTCTAGTTTATATCAGTATCTAGTCATTATGGTATTATGTTATATTGTATTTATTAATTATCTATCAGACAAATGTTCTATGTATCCCCCTTTCACCTTCCCTATCGCTCCCAGCCATCGGGCAAAATTCACTTTGGAACATCTGGAGGAGAATAAGCCTTGATTCAATAGTCCTGATGAATGGCTGCCAAATACCCCAGATGCCAACTCCTGTGACTATCACCAGTGGGGTCACCTGGAGCAGCTTATTGCCGTTAATGGTAATCCCTCACAAACTATTGTTAAACTAAAAGAAGTTCTGCAGGAGAAGTGGAGAGAACTACCACAAGAATCGCTGGATCGCGCCATTGACCAGTTCCGCCCATGTCTCCTTGCGCGCTGTAGAGAACGTGAAAGGTGGATGCATAAAATTTGTTTAATAAATAATCAATAGATACATAATATCATAGTGACTGATATATGATACTGATATAAATTGTACTAGACATTGGTTGAACAGTTATCCAAGATTGTAACAGATTTAGTGAACATATTGAATGTGTTATTGTTGATCACATGAATGAAACATTTTCTAGGAAAAACGGTAAATCTCGGACACATGAACAATATACCATTGATATTCAAGGATCTGATATAAAAAATTGAAGCCCAGTTTAGCTTTAGTATTTAAATGGTAAAATATGCATATCCTTAAGTTTCTGTAAATAATTTTTTTATGGCAATACCCTTATGTTTTGATACTTTTCTAGCCTTTTAAAAAAGTTGCAAAATTTTTTGGCCCACCCTGTATTACTTCAGAAATTCTGGATTTTCTATGGCGCATTCACTGTTCCATTAACAATATAAGGATTTCTCTTACTGTCTAACAATGACCAAGGTCCTCGTTACCAGTTGCACAAGCAGAGGGCTAATTTGGGCCAAATAACTCTTTTTCAGTAAGATAAATTTTTATGTGCGCAATACTAGAAAAGAAATGTAAATTGTCATGAATTTATAGATTGTTGACTATAGAGAATCTCTCCGATCTAGAAATCAATTTTGGAACTAGAAAATCAAAAATCTTTAAATCTTTTAAAACTTTATGTGAATGAATTTGGAATGAGCATATTTTGCTTTGTTTTAAACGAAATGTTAAGCATTAAAAAGAAATATGTCGCTGAAATGTCTCTGTCCCTGGCCCTAATGAATTTGTAATTCAATAATCCTTTTCTCGTTAATGTAAATTATCTTCTAAAAAGATTCTGTGCAGTCCCGCTAAAAATAATTCTTTTTTTTGCAAGGGGTTTGTGAGGTTAAACAGTTATAACTGGCCAATAGACTAGGTGCGAGTAGAAACAATCTTGATTTACGCCATTAAATATTCAAAATTCAGTCAAAGCGATGTTATATTTGAAATCTGCATGTGAAAGTACATCTAGAAACATGGTTTCGAAAATTGTTTATCAAGTTTGAAAATTTAATTATTTTTGAAAGTGTGACTCCTAGTTCGGGTTGATTCTCCATAGAGCCCATGTTACAAAATCACAAAAAGTGAAATATCTTTCCTTGTATTGGTCAGATAGCATTTTCATTTACTGGACATATTTCGATTTGCATAACTATTGGATACATAAGGGTAATATAAAAATTGAACCTCTAAAACAGATGTAATTTAAGTTAAAGGGAACTTTCTACTATACCCGCCATGCTATCTGACCCGAGCGAGCCACCTGGTGGTGAAACTGGTAACTACCTTCTCGCATCTGCGTTATTGACATTTTGCCTGTATGAGCATCTGTCTCGATTTTCGAGCTTACGATACTCTGTAAAGGTTTCGCTCAATCTGCCTGAAACCTGAAATTAATAAAATTGATGAGGTAATCAATTTCAATGACATTTTAAGGATGCGATACTAGGTTCTAAGATAAGACTAGATACGAGCAGAAAGTACATCTAGAAATATGGTTTCGAAATTTGATTACCAACTTTGAATTTTTTTTTTGAAAATATGGCTTCTAGTTCGGGTTAATTCCCCATAGACCCTAAAGACTACTATATACGCCATCAGATTCGAACGAGCTACCTGGTGGTGAAACTGGTAACTACCTACTCGCATCTGCTTTATTGGCTGGCTTTGAAATTTATTCTTCAACATGTGTTATTATGTTCATTAGCATGAATAAAATTCCCCGTAGAGTCGTTTCTTAATAGCTTTAAAATCTCGCCAATTCTCGTTTTTCAAGAGATTTGCACTTTTAACCTCTAATGACTTACTTTTCTTCCCTTTTAATAGCATATTTAAATTCAGTGAAACGCTACAATAATAACTTTGATTTACTCAGTTTCCATGACTTTTTAACAAAAAACTTGAGCCAATTCTACATTGATACAATGCTAAGATTCTTTATATCCTTGCTTTATTCTTTTGACAACCAAAAGTTTCATGATTAATCACAATATGTACATTCACCGGGTCATTCCATTGTATTTCAGACAGATTCGACCAACTCTTTTACATAAATTATTGAATTGAGTGACTATTGCAAGTTCGTTTACATGAAAGTCAATGGCAATCTGGCCCAACCAATATGAAGAATGACAAGGGTGACATCTATTATGTTAGTTTTATTCAGCTATATAGAAATTATACTATTGTCGTGTGGTCCTTAATTGTGATTAAATGTCTTATTTTCTTGCTTTGTTTTGTTACGTTTTCGTTACCTCCATTTGACACGTACATCTTCAAATATTTGGTCACAGACATATTGGTTGCAATGATCGCGAAGCGTTTGAACAGTTGATTACCTTGATTGAAATGTCTAAATTTGTTTGCTCTAATCAATCCTGTTAATTGCATGTCCACTACCTAAACATCTTTAAGATTTGCAATCAATTTAGCGAACACCATAAAAGGTAAACAAGTAAATGTGTTTGTTTACTGGAGATGATATTTGGGCATTTCACTGATTTTTTACATTTTTAACAAATGTTACTAAAACGTCGTTAAATATTACATACCTCCTCCCTAGACTCATTAACCAGATAAATGTGTAATTTCCAAATCAAATGATATGCCATGTTTTAATATAATTATTTAATTTTGGTTTAACTATAACGATATTTCTATACTACGAGTAAACTATTTACATGTACGTACATAGGCCAATCAAAAGGCATTTAGTTTAATTTGACAAGTCATGAAACAAATTAAGAAATAAAAACATGTTAAACTTACGTATATCGATTACTACAGTGATCCAATGCCACACACCAGTTTCCCCCGTAGTCAGTATCCTATTCTGCTTTGATTACCAATCCAAATTTCTTTCGTTAGCGATGCCTAGACTGGTTAAATTGACTAGCTAGCCGTTATATATGCTAGTCGATACCTTGTGGAAATCACTCATTGCTTATGCGCGAACAAAAAAAGTTCGGTAGACACACAACGGTGTCAAATATCCTCTGTATTTTCTCGCATCTTTGTGTAATATTTTTCTAAAGTAATTATGCTATGATAGTTTTGCCATGGAGTACTGTTAAAGAATGGTTGATGTTGATAATGATTAACTTTGTCCTGTAAATTGAATTTTTTCAATTCTTCTAAAAATATTCAAATTCATGCAGAGCCGAGACATATAAAACACCGTTTATATGTCTCTGTGCAGAGTAACAAATGATGATGAAAACAAATACCAGAAGAAACGAAAATGTTTTTTTGTTGAAATAGCTTTTCAGAAAACGACAAATAATCAAACAATACAAGTTGTTTAAAATGTGTGTTAACATTAACAATTGTGTTTATACAAATCCCTGTCATTTAAAGGGGTTGTACCAAATGAAATTCACTGGTGATCCACTCGAATACGCTGACAAAATGTCGGAACCTCGAAGGGACGATTTTTATTTTTTCCTTATTTCACACGTTGTAGGCAGGATTCCCACGACATTTTTATCACAAACGTGTGTCAATTTCATATTTTCAGGAGACAACAGAATCGTCGATTAAATACCTCACTTTTGTTACGGAACTTCAAAAACGGTTAAGATCTGCACTTCTAACCCGTTCCATTTACGTAACAAATAGTGATTCTTTTAAAAAAAAATTCGTAGTGTGAGTACCGTAATCCAACAAGAAATTCAAAAATTCTCAACAATGCTTTGTACATATGGCGTTCATGACCAACAATGATACACTTACCCCCATGGTGTTATCAAAATGTACCTGTTCATATATAGGGGTTCGATTGATCTACATAAAATTACAGGAAGTCATGTTACTTTTAAAGATATCAGCGTCCATTTATTGAAACTCGGGTTTGCCACCATTTTCTCATTTTCTGAAATGACGGGCACACGCGTAGTAAACATGCTCATTACATGGCATTATTTAGAACAAGATCACAGGTTTCTAACTGTTTTGGCGGATGCGGATATGGAATTTCACATCTTGTTGTCATTGAGTCTAAAACGAGATAAAGAAAAATTATCAAAGCAAATCTTGCACAGGTACAAGACTCTGAGTACAAGCAGGTTTTCCTCATAACTTGAATTGTGGAATTTTTTCACCTTATTATGACAAAATAAAAATACAGCATTTAGTAAACAGCCGTACTTTCTACTATCGTGACGTCAAACATATATTGTAAAAATGTAAGGGTGCGCACGGCGACAAAGCTTCATTGCTTTGACACCAGAGTTTATGGTGGGGAAAGGATGGATATATACTTATAGCAACATTGTAAATGTTGCCATGCTGTGACTTTCTGATCGTGCATACGGCGCATGGGGTAAAATGGCCCTGTCGGTTGCAGGTCATGAGAAATCCCTTTCTTTTTCCATTTTCAATCAATCAAGATGAAGAATCATTGATTAACCTTTCAAGTATAAAGGAAAACAGAACTTTATTGTTTGTTAAATCGTGACATTTAACGCTGTTTTGTTGTTTTTACCCCTGGTTACCCTCTTGAGGATGTGTAGTGATATAATAAGTCATTGAGAGAAGCACATTGGTGTTTAGTTTAACGTGTTGGAAAATATCGAATTCTGAATTCTTAAACAAAAAAGTACAATACCACGGACGTTTTTAAATCAAATTGTGAGAAGAATATGAAATAGGTGATATAACAATCTCTTTGACCTAATCGTTCTATATCGGAATAATGCTCTTTAGCTATCATTTAGGTGTTTATACGTCAATAATGCGGCTACACATGGCTGTCTTTATATATATTTCGATCAATGCCAATATTTCAGAATGTGTAATCAACACTTTCGATATGCAATTGGAATGATATTGCAAACGGAAGTCTCAAGATGGTCGTATTATGATTAGGTAATCATAATTTAGAACTATATCATTTGTATTTAAAGATTTACTAAAGCCGTTTTACTCGATGAAGATTAAAGTTGTGCTTCCTTACCGTATGAAGGCCAAACATTATTATAGTTAACTACCAACATTTCCAAAAAGGAGGATTGGCTGCCAGAATGCAACATCGATATTCTGTCCCATATGGAGATGTCGTGATTCAAAATTCGAATTTAAACAGACGCCATTTTTGCTCACTTCAACATTTGGATCGTGAATTCTGGTCTTATTTCCCAGCAAAAAATTCCAAAACTCAGAAGAAACGATCGGGATATTGGTTCGAATCTTTTGGACTGTTTATTTTGAATTTATAGCAAGTTATAATTTCAGAAAATAACGACATTTCGACGTTTTCATTGTTGTAAAATATCGAGTTTCGATCCTGGGAGCCAATCATCCTTGATTTCCAAAAGGTATATGAAGTTAGCACGTTTCTGTTTTCGCGGTAAAACTCATTTCGTTTTAAGAGCAAAAATTTTACGTCACGTGACATGATTGTGAAATGTCGCATCAAGAGTTTGTCCATTTGCAATTTTGATAATATAAATAAATCCCTGACTTCAAAAAGTGTTCTCACTCTTGGATTGATCCTATCCATGATTGCATGATTTAAAGCTACTTTTATCAGTTTTTCAAATAGCGCACAGGTTGAGTGAGTGAATTAATTACGCTTGTAAATTCGTGTAAGTCATATATATTCCATGGTATGACTTTCGAATAAGAATAAGAAGGATCCGTAGCACACTATAGCGCAGCAACATTTGAAGCAATATTTAAGGAGGTGCATGTTCTGATCTTTTTTGAAATAGCATTTTTTGAAAAGAACTTCCGACTTTCCGACCGAAAAATGTATTTCATCACAAGGGGTCAAAAAACTTAATATATTGCTTCGAACTTTATACATTTTATAAGACGCAGACCGTTATTCTAACCATACCATAAGAATAGATTATCATAATGTAAAAATTCACGATAACTTTACTGTAAATGTCGGTGTTTAATTAGTGTAATTACACAAGTGTGCTTTTCAGACTCTGTTTGATTTTTCAAATACGAGCAAAACAGATTCAACAAAATTGTGTGGAATTTTTAGGTAATTTAAAATGATTGCGAACATATTAGTTTTCTTACCATTTAAAACATTTTATTACTAGAATTTATCCATATTATTGCAAGGGGTCAAACAACAAATTACTGTTATGTTTTATAAAACATAAGACAATAATAAATAGGTAAGATTGATATCTAATCAAATGTTACAAAGATATCGAAATGTTCATATATTCAAAGGACATCATCAGATTTTCTGATGGTTATTCTTTGACCTTACCGCTGGATACCATCCGATTTCAGGAATATAATGATAACGATTTCTCTCAATGATTCATGAATTCGACCAAGTCTTGATGGTTGTTTTATAAGCAGCATCTGAGCAATATCAAGGGACGATAATTGCTGAAGTTGCAATTAGTCAAGGAAGTGCAATAGGCCCCCCTTTGTTGAAACTGTCTACCGCAGAAATGACAAAAAGTAATTAATTTGTACCATCTATCTCATTAATATCTGAGAAACAATACAAAACGTCGATATCGTGGTAAGTTGATGACTCTTTGTGCGTCATTTGACAATCGTGTCACATGACCCTAAAATGTAAGCAAAATAGAACCATTTCAGAGGTGTGTACTTGTATGTCTATGTATAAGTGCACATAAAAGAACACAGGGCTCCTTCAAGGAGGGGTTTCTGGGTCTATCTTCCATGTTGATTACGTAAATTGCGACTATATACGGGACATACCCAAGAGGTATTGCTCACCTTCATTGGTGGTAAACAAAATACAATACAAAGACAGTTCCATTTTGTTAAATCGTGTTTTGTGGGGTAATATCACTATCTTTACAGTTGAAGTGTTGTTCTGTGGTAGTAATATTTGCAATAGTTCAGTGCCACTTGAAAACATATAAGTTGTTACAACCTAACAACTTAAACAACTTATTTAAAAAGCATGAAAATGGTCAGTTCAGATGCGTTTATTGATTGTAACAATAGTGCCAAAATAAATGCACAGTCTAATCTTCAAAAAGTAGTCTCGATTAACAAAAGTCTTCTTTAAATATGTGGCATGTCGTTTCTATTTTAGACACGGATTACTTGTAGTTGATAAACTCAGATTTACGATGAACAACACTTTTTTCGAAATTAAGACGCGTTATTTAGTAAATGAAATATGTCAGATAAGGGTCGCCTTGAATTTTGTACAGTAGTCGTACTGCTGTGTGAAAGAGAATAAATTCTGAAGTTTATGACCCAATCAATCTATACTCGATATTATATATTTTAACATCATATATTTATCAGAAAACGGATGATTTTACAGCTACGAATTGATATGGTTTGATATATTATGACATCAACCAGCATCTTCTTTGATCACTCCTAAAAATATAATATGATAAGGTACAGCGTGGCCCAAAAAGTGGATCTTCGCATCAAGTTATATTTCAGTTATTACATGCATGAATCGGCTTACATTCTCACATGTTTTAATAGAAAGTTTTTGTGGGCACCATAAAGGCTACTCAGTCTTTGATCTTGCTGGAGTTACATGTCATCAACAGACATGCCTGATTAATTGATAATGCGCTGAATCCACGCTTCATGATTCTGGATAACGGATGAACGCAAATGTTGAAGCTTTTCACTGCTCTGACCAGCGTGTCTAGGAATATATTTTTATTTTTCTAATGATTTTCATGATTTTATAAACATTATATGTAATATAATATGCTTTATTGTTTCAATTGCTTAAGAGAGTCTGTTTACACAAATGGGGGTTTAGTACAAAGTAGGCACTCCCCAATGTGTTTTAGTTTAAATTGATCATTCGTACATGTGTCACATGACACACCACAATATATTCTATTCATTTTAAATTCCAAACCGGGAAAGAGATATTGATA